GTCATGGACTTCTCGGGTTTGGAACCACGATATGTTGGTGGTTTTTCAGAGAAGATATCGATGGATATTGATGAAACATCGTATTTCGAACTTTTTTGAAGTGTCAACTAACGGTCAAACGAACGAAAAGTTGACGATTTGGATATTAGATTGTTTTCGAAAAGGTTTGGCTATTATATTGTTTAAAATGAAAGATTTGGATATTAAATTGTATTTACCCTAAAAATTAATTTTCAGCTTTTTCAAAAAGATGAATCTATAAAAGTGTTTAGTTTGGTTTTGGCTTTTTAAACATAAAAATACTTCTAAAACAGGCATGCATAGTAGAAGTTAGGAATGAAAATGGTGCGGTTTGGGATGGATTTCAATAAATTCATCTTCATCGACGTTTTAAATTCGTAAACTCATACCCTCATCGTTCCCGTACGGGTGGAAGTTTCCTATCCCCGCCTCCGTTCTCGTGGTTACTGTCTACTGGATAATAATACCCTCCTTACAAATCTAAATCAAACTCAACTTAAAATTAATGTAATTAAGTAGAAGACATATACGATTTAAAGCTAAAATGTTGAATGTAGATTATACATCATAAATGGGCCACAAAAGGTATGATAAATATAACAAAAAATAATAATATGCATTGATGGAATTAAAAAAAGTGAAATGAAGGTTTTTAGCATTATACTATTTGAATTTCTTAGTGAAAGATGGAGTAGGGAAATATAGGATGACATGTAATTATGTGTAGGTAATATACAAATTATATGTACGAACAAGGGGTTGGTCTAGTGGTAAAACCACTAGCCATGAACCTTGAGGTCACAGCTCACAGGTTCGAATCCCTTCAGTAGTACCTAATAACAAAAAAAGTAACATATATCGCCCTTATCTATAAAAAATATACAAATTATATGTAGGGCGATTATATGCATGAAGATGGGGTGGTGACACCTCAACCCATCCCCGACTCATCCAATCACTTTTATCTCTCTTTTTTTTTTTTGTAGGTGTTACCCATACCCGCTCGTACCCAATTAAAATGAGAATTTCTCTCGTTGATTGGGTCGGATACCCACCATTGTGGAGATTCGAAGTAGAGGAGATTCGACAAAGGTGGACTTGCATCTTTGATTTCGAGGGATAAGAAAAGCAAATCATATGCTAATTGTGTGTGTGAACACTGAAAATTGTAAAGTAAAGGAGTCACATCCAAAATCAGGTACCACATCGGTGGTGAACAGGAGAGCACTTGCCTTCTCTGGCACACTAGGCTGTATAATCTAAGTCCAACTTGTATTTAGTAGGATGTTCAAATGGTTACCATGGTTATAACCAAATCAAATAAGGCTAAATTCTATTAACCATGGAATACAATATCATAACCAAACCGTCCAAACTAATACAACAACCAAATTAACCAAACTAAAGTTTAATCGGTTTGGTTAATTGGTTAACCAGATTAACCAATATAAAATCACATTATCATTGACGATGAAAATTTTCCGGTTAATGCAACAATTCGCAATTTATATAATGAATAAAACATAACAATCAACACGTAGTTATAGTTGACGCTTAACAAAAATACATGCAACTAAGATAATTATCTTACGATTAGTATAGAAGTATTCACCTACAAAAATTTATGACCATGGTATGGGTTAATGAATTGTTGTGTTTTTGTAAATTGACTTGGTCTCTTAGCAATTATCATAGGCTGGAAATGACCTTCCTTTCAAGTTTTCATCCATCATAATGTATGAAATTTATCTAAATTAGGTGTCCATATGTTGTGGTCTACATTTTACATATACACTATATGAGCAATATTGAGCTTTATATTTTATGAGTCTAAAAGGGATGAACGTTAACTCTTGAGTGGTTATGCAAAGTATTAAATATGTGTATATAATATATGTTAGATATATGACTAATTACTTAACTGGTTAATTTGGTTTGACTGGTTAGGAGTGTCTGAAACCAAACCAAACCACCTAAACCAAACAAGCTAAAAACTTTAACCAAACCAAACCAATTATCCAGATTAACCAAACCAAATTATCCAAATAGTACCGGTTAAAACGGTTACCATGGTAACCAAACCGTTTGAACACCCCTAGTATTTAGTCTTCACACAACCTTGCAGTGAGTACATAGCAAACTATTCTTTCGGCTTTTACTAAAGAACACTGTCTACGCGCTGTATATAGAGGCATACATCTATTTTTGGAGGGTCATTCTTTAATTGGACTGGCCTCATAATGCTAAGTTAAACTCCTTTTTTCTTATTGCACAGCTATAATAATGATCAAATGATAAGAATTTGGAACTGGTAATTACCTAAATGGCTGCACCAGAATCTGGATGGGAAATAGGCTCCATCCCATCGCAGTGTCCTAATTGCCACCCTGTTTGTTGCTAGTCGCAAACAATTGAGAAGATTGGTGGTTAAAAGGTTAATAGCAGCAAACCAGAAGACAACTCTGTTTAGAAGAACTGGGTTCCTGTTTCAGACTGATGATGCAGGATTGATGTTCCAATTGGAGTAGATTTGAAGAAAGGGCGATTTCCATCTTTGTTGCTGGGAGTAAAAAAGAAAGTTGAATCCCTGATCAGAGAAGCCGTGCTGTTGAGAAGAGAAACCCAGGGAGCCGAGGCACAAAGGCTGATCCTGCGGGGCTAAAGCGAAGCATTCACCATAAATTAAATACCACATCAGTCGGTTGAGAAATGAGCAGTGCGTTCCCGGGCACACAGCCTTGTAGTGAGTACATAAAGCGAATTATTCTTTCGCCTTTTACTAAAAAACACTGTGTGCGCACTTCTAATAGGTTGATTTTTGGAGGGTTGTTCCTTAATTGGATCAACCCAACAATAGTTAGTCCAACACTTATGAGATTTATTGTTCTGAAACAGTTTGTCTCAAACAGTAATTCGTCTGAGCTTTAATGTTTTGAAGCTGTAGGAGGTTGATTGAATGATTTTAGTTTTCTACTGAATTTCATATTGAAATTACTGTTCAATTGAATATGGTCAATTCGGTTGTTCAACTGAGTCATGATTTAATAAGGTTGTGGGTAGACTGAATTTTAAGTGAATTAGATTATGAGTCAATTGGGTTACAAGTCACTTGAATAGTTATGAGTTGGATGGATTACAAGTTACTGACTTTTCAGTCAACTCGAATTAAGATCGAGTTCTGGTCAGTGGCCGGGTTGAACGGATGGGTTTTGTTTTGACAATTTTAATATGATATGCAATGCATATTTGTTCGAACTAGGCGTGACAACAATCCCCAACATGGATAAACGCCCGAACAACGGCGGATCTAGGGCTGGGCCAACCCGGGCCACGGCCCAGCCCTCCGTCGGATCCAGAGCTAGTATAGTGTTTACAAATTTTTCGATTTTAGGTATTCGGTCCAGTACTATTAAAAAGTTGGTCGAGTGTTATTTGATAATAGAATTTTGTGTAGCTAGAAAAGCGGTCTAGATAAACATATGCAAACAACTATTCCCAATTTAGCATAGAAATTCTAGCCCGAATGATTTTCATTTGAAAAAACAAAACAATAAAACCTAAATGTCTAAAACATGAAAGATCGTATAAAGTTTCATTGAAATAAGAAAACCCTCTAAACAAATTGATTTTTTTTATTCGTCTAGTGTTGACCTTGACCGTTTATAGCGGCTACCATGGAGATAACATTTTAAGCAATGAAATATGTGAAAACTAATTTGCTCAACAAAATGCACGATGAATTTTTCATTGATTGCATAGCTATGTTATTTGTGAGAGAATATGCTATTGATATGGATGGAGATTATAATATTGATGGAATTTGCCAAATTGAAAAACCTTCTATTATAATTGGCATTGTAATTAATGAAATTATAGTTATTATATATTTTTGGGTAAATACAATTTATTAACCAAACTTTTCAGACTTTCCAAATTATTAGACAAACCTTTCAAAATATAAAATATTAGCTAAATCTTTTGTAATGCATCAAAATATTAATCATTTGTCTGTTACCGATTTACCGTTGGTAATTTTGTAACTAATTTCTCATTTGAAATACTAAAATTTGGGAATGTTAACTATTTTTGTTTACAACATCTAATATTATATTCAAATGCGGCCCAGTGCTTTTACTATGTTCTGGATCCGCCGCTACGCCCGAATCAGATCCAATTAAACAAGATAAACACACGAAGTAAATGAGTGACCATAGTTTTCTTACCATCCAACCCTAACCTTCCAAATTTACAAGATTATATATACTTATGTATAATTGTATATATATTTTAAAAAAATTTGCCTCTCTTTCAACTGCTAGCCATAGCAAAGAAGCCAGAGTGCTGAGATCTGTTAAGCATCGATGAACAACACTTTTCAGAATGTGTGTTACCTTGAGCAAAGAAATGGGAAATAATAATAATAGATCAGTGAAATGAAATGATTGATGTAACGATGTCCAGGTACACCAAGTTTCTATAAACCAGGCTCCTATTTTGACTACCTTGGCATACAAGTCTTCCATGGTTGGGTTGGGTTGGCTTGGCTTGGCTAGAATCATCTGAAAAAGGGCCTACTCTCTCGTTCCGTCTTCATACATTCATTAAAGGGAATCGAAATGTATATTGTGCTCTGCATGTGCAGTTTCCATTCGTTTTCTGTGTGGCTAATAACTGTTGAACGGTTTCGTGGAATAAAAGTAATCTGGTATACCAATATGAATTGGCTACCACTTGTATGATTTCCCCAATCAGATGAGCGCGCCGTAAGCTGAAAAAGGCGCTTGCTTTGATTTCCTTGAGATGAGATCACAGTATCACCCTCCCTAATCCTATGAAAGAAAGCAGATAAGAGCAGAGGAGGAAGGATAACGTTACTTACTAAAATGGTGAGCCAATTCTTCTCAACCAGTACATGACACGTGGTGAGCCATCTACAGATTCTAAGCCTAACACGTGGAACCATACTCTCTTGACGGTTCTGCTACATTTGTGAAGTAATGGAAGGGAAATCCCCCACATGTCGCTCTCTTCTGTTTGCAGACTTGAAGCAAACAAAAAAGCAGAAAAGGGGAACGGAAATTTCCAAGGAATTCATCTTTGTAAAATACTACCACAAACCCACAAAAAATCAATCGCTCTCAACTGCAATCTCCATCTCTAGATGCTCTCGTGCTCGATTCTATCCCTTCATTCATTCATTCCCGTATTTGTTTGGTATTATTCCTCCACTTTGCTCCAACAATCGCCGCATCTTCTCTCCGTTTCTCCGCCTCTAGTCTAGTTTGAGACAACGACAAACGGAATCGATTCGTTCAACACCTACCGTTCATTTTTCTCCGAAAAGAGGTTGCCTTTTTTATCTTGTTCGTAAAATTTGAAACAGTGGTTATTGTTCGATTCCCCCCCTGTTATATGATCTGGGTCTGCTGGAGGATTACAAGCTGGAGGTGTCGTCCAATTCTCTCCTCCGCCCGACGACCACAACCATCACCGCCACATTTCCCAGGAACCCATCTCGATTCTCCGCCCTCCAATCCGCCCCGCCGCCGCGCTCTGCTGTCAGGCTCTCCGCCGTCAGGAGTCGAAGGAGGAGACAACAGTTGGGGGTTGTCGTCGGGAAGGTGGGAATAATGGCAATTGAACAGGTCTCCGCTACGCAATCCCTTATGTTGACATCCGGAGCCAGCGGCAGGATTAATGCCCTGTTCTCGGCGAGGGCGTTGAAGGGTCTGTTGGCTTTGATTCATGCACTGTTGATTCTGCTGTTGCTCCCATTTCGTGGCCGGAGGCGGGCGGCGGTCTCCGGAAGCTCGTCGGGTCACGGGGACAAGGGCAATTGCGTTTGCGACAAGGGGAGCAGCGGCGGCGGGGCGAAGGTGAGGGTCCCTGCCAATATTGTGCCGTGGAAGGCTACTAGCTCTTGGGTCAGCGCCAGCGGCGGCGGGGTCATGGCGATGGTGGATAATGAGGTTGCGACTAGGAGGACGATTGCTATCCGGAGGGTGTTGCAGGACGATGACCCTAGGTCGGTTAGGGATTTCTCCACGTTCATCACTGCTAGGGGCGACACCATTTTTACCCAGTCTTGGTTCCCGGCTTCAGGGGAGATCAGGTATGAATGATCAATTCTCGAGTTCAAGTTTCCATAGATATCGGATTGAGATTAAGCTTTATATGCCTGCATTAATTGGCAAACTGGAATGTGAAATGTGCTTGCTTTTCTACCACAAAATGAAGTTCGTGACAAAATTTATATAAAATTTCCTTGGTAATGATGGCTAGTTGTATGTGGGGAGATGCATAGATTGGTTAATGGCCTTTCTGTGTGAAAGTTGCTTCCTCTCGATAAGCATCATTGTTGGAGTTGAGATTCAATTTGCGCATAACTATTATCTTCAGTTATTTACCACGGTTTTTTATGTTTACACTTTACACAATGACACAGCCATTGTTATGGATGTAGACTGGGCAATCTGTTTTCTTGTTCCTTGTCTTCTTCTTCTTATTTCTTTCTAGGGAGGTATAGCTGATATTGTTTTGAAGTGTTTGATGAACTTGTGCAAGATAAAATTGGTGAGACGAGATGTATTAGTTTCATCCCAAGTTGTTGGTGCAAATCCTAATAATTATCAGTTGCTCAGCAATATTGGCTTCTAGTCTGCAGCTTTTGATCTACCATAGGCCTAAAAAATGACTATTCCCGCGAAGAATTGTATCTTCATGGGGAGCCCCATGCCATGACCATTTGATTCTCTGCTAAATTCTTGGTCCTGGTCCCTCCCTTATCTTTCCACCACAGGCTGATGGGCTACTTCTGCATGCAGATTCTGACTATTTGATATGATTTTCTAATACGCACATAACTGTGGCACACAATTCTATTGGGCTATTCCTTCGCGCTTCTTCTTTTCTTTTTTTAGCAGTACTTCTATTGGATTGTGGACCAGAAAGAAATTTTATCGTGGTTGTAAAAATTTGGCAAGCGGATTGCTCTTGTGGCGGGATGGTTCACAAGAACAATTGATCTTTAGCAAAAGTTACCAGTTTTCGAGCTGCTTCTGCCTGAATTGAGGCAAATGCTTTATATTTTGGCGGATCAAGATGTGGGGCTTTATTTCCATGTAATCTGATTCTTACTCATTTACCTGGTTTCACCTTAAGATGAACTTAAACTAGAACAATGTACAAGGATGCAAGATGCATGACAATAGTTGATATGAGCAGCAAAGTTCATTTTTGTGTTTTCCTTTTCCCTTTTCTGATTCTTGTGTGCTTCAGTTAGGCGTTTTCCTTCAATCAATATAGAACCAAAAACTTATTACGCTATCCTGTAACTTTCTTATTCAAAGCTTGCTTGTTTGACCTGTCATCAGTTTATCTAGTTTGGCACATGTTATGCTGGTTTCAGTTGACTAATATACATTCTATCTCTGCAGGGGAGTGGTAATTCTCATGCATGGACTGAACGAACACAGGTTTGTACTTTCTACTTCATTTTAGCGCGGGAGCATGTTGTACTTTCTACTTCATTTTAGCGCGGGAGCATGTTGTATTGAATCATTTGATTATTTTTCTGACCTTCACTGTTTATGGCAGTGGGCGATATAATGAATTCGCAAAGCAACTGAATCATAACGGCTTTAAAGTATATGGAATGGACTGGATTGGTAAGCGTGATGAAACCTTTGATTTGTTCTCTGGCATATATTAATTAATGGCAGTGATCAATCTTGCGTGCCACAGCTATATTCTGAGAAGCTACCTCAAAGATTGACTTCGTTTCAAGTTGAGCTTAATTGTATTTATTATATTATGGCACTTGCATTTCTCTTAGAGGTCTAGGTCATTGATTACTCCCAGATGAAAGCAGACATACAAAGAGACCAACGTACCGAATAACAGTTCTGGCTGACGGGTTTATTTCTCAGGCAACTATAGTCCTGAACAGTATAGGTTCTGCTTTTCAAATTTGTGTTCTACGGCATGTGGGTGGTCTATAGATAACCATGTCAGGATTTGGAGATGAGTGGTTAAAGGCACTCGTACTCTTATGTGGACATTTATGCCACTCTTGCATTCTGTGGATGGTAAACTTTGAAGTAAAAGTCAAGTTTAGATGGAAAGAATACAGTGTTAACCTGAATGCTTCTGATTACAGTTTAACTTAGAACATTACCTTTGTTTAGAGAATCTTAATGATACAAAAAAATTAATTGATTGTCACTAGTTTTCTGTGCTTAATGTTCTTAAAAATCATTGTTCTTTCAACAATGCATGTATATGTGGATGTTGCAGGGACTGGCATGTCCATTGGTGGAAAAAAGTAGCATGTGAAGCACCTTTTAAATAAGTAAGCTTGCTAATTATGGCTGGAATTGTGTCACCTTCCGCTCTAACTTGGTCAAGGGAAGGATAAATACCGTGAAACTCATAGGTCAAAGCCCTTTGGGAAGCTTGGTTTACTCGGATTTTCTTGGCGAATTTCATCTCCACTAGATTCTCCTTATTTCCAGGGGAATCTGGGAATCATCAGCCGAACCAACACCTTAAAATTGCTGAAATACAGTTGGGAGGATTTTTTTTTTTTTTTTTAAGCTGTCACCATCTCTATCTTAGCAGATCCTCCAACTTTGAAGGTTATCTATATGTCTAGTCTACAGAATCATCTGAGTTTTCGTGTCCATCTGATGTCACTTTCATTTTTGGGACTTGCTGTATTCCTGTTCCCCTTTCTCATATGTTTCGTGTGTGGCTTATATTCAGTTTTGTTGTTTTCCCAAACTGCTGCTTTTTTTTCTTGTTCGTTTTCGTCCCTTCTGAAGATTATGGTCTGTTAAAACCTTGTTGATATTGATAAGCTTGATCACTTGTGATGTTTGAGCAATATTTTCTGTTTACATTAATCTGTGCTAAACCCATTGTCAATTTTCTCGATACTTGTCAGGTCATGGCGGAAGTGATGGTTTACATGCATACGTTCCTTGTCTAGATTATGCTGTGTCTGATCTGGTATGTCCAGCGTCTTATTCTGCAAGAAAATAAGGTCTGCTTTCATATTGTATTTCCCCAATTACTCTGAACTATTATCCATTTTGTGGCAGAAATCATTTCTAGACAAGGTTATAGCTGAAAACCCTGGGCTCCCATGTTTCTGCTTTGGGCACTCCACTGGTGGAGCCATTGTTCTCAAGGTGAGAGCTTTTCTCATATGCCGTTGAATCCATTCTCAACAACGCTTGTTCCGAAGTTTATGTTGTTTTCTGTGTCTCCGTATGACATCAATGATTTCAGGCAGCTCTAGATCCAAAAGTCGAAGCTTCACTTGCTGGTATGGTACTGACTTCACCTGCAGTAGGAGTTCAGCCATCCCATCCGATTTTCGTGGTACGAAGTATTTTCTTTTTGTCTTTCGAAAACGAGCCATTGTTCTCACGGGGCCTATCTATTGTCGAGTTAATTTTTAACCATCTCCCATACAGGTATTGGCCCCAGTTTTCTCTGCTCTGCTGCCAAGGTTCCAGATAAGCGCAGCGAACAAAAAGGGGATGCCAGTCTCGCGAGATGCTGATGCCCTGATCGCCAAGTACTCGGACCCTCTAGTCTACACTGGATCTATTAGAGTTAGAACAGGTTACGAGATCCTGAGAAGCTCGACCTACTTGCAGCAGAATCTCAATAGGTTCAATGTTCCATTTCTAGTCCTCCATGGTTCTGCAGACACGGTGACTGACCCAGAAGGCTCCCGGAAGTTCTACAACGAAGCATCCTCAACCGACAAAACAATCAAGCTGTTAGATGGGTACCTGCACGACTTGCTGTTCGAGCCTGAACGACAGGACATAATGGACTGCATAATTGAATGGTTGAACGACAGAGTATGATGACGAGGGCTTCTGTTGCATATTAATTTGTGTTGAATAAGGGAACGAAAGAGGGCCTTCTGAAGTGGCCAAGGCCAGATTTGGAAGGACCGTGTAAGGGAAATGACTAATGAGGCTTCTTGATTTCTTTGACTGCCATTTTTGGAGCAGGCGAAAGGGAGAGGGAAGAGCATTGGCTATGATTTGCTGAATAAATTGATATTCAGCATGAAAAAGTAGTTTGTTTTATGTTTTGGAACTGGACGGTGGACGCGATGTAGGTTCATTGAATTTTCTTTGCATGGAAGTTGTCAATGAAAGCCCATGGATTTGTAGTATGGGTTTCTAATTATTTGGGTGTTGGTGTTCGCCTGGCCAGTAAGTGAGATGGACAATTGTGACTTGATTCGCACTCTTCACTCTTGCTCAATTCTCTTGTGGTTACTGAGCAGGAGAAAATTCGTTACAATTTCGATTCTCGTATCCGAAAAATACCTTTACACAAGGCATTATAACCCTGAAACTTAAATATGTTGAAACAGACAATCCGAGTGTGCTAATGTTCACCCTCGAATCTAACCAAGTTGACAAGTATGTTTGGCCTCTACGAACAGCTCATAGTTTCGATCTGATATTTCGCGATACGCTTGATTCGCTCCTCTATAGCAACTACGAAGATGCAGCGAGGCAGCTCCAGCAACACGATTGCAAACTAGAATGCCGTTTGATTCTGGGGGGGCATACCACTGGCAAGCATATCCACCTCTCTCCTTCGCCCCTTCATTTCGTTCTGACAAGTTCCAACGGTAGAGTTTCTACAGCCGTCTGCATAAGTTTTGAGGACACACACATGATGCATGAATATAACAGTGAAAGACATGCTTATGTAGTTGTGTTATGTTGTTGCATACCCATAGCCTTGGAACTGCTGGATCAGACTTTTTGTGCAACTTGGAGAGCTCTGACTCAAAGTTGATCACTATGGATGCTTTGAATTCGATTGAGAATGGCCTGCATATATAGTCATCAACACAGTTATTGTGGAATTGATTGTAATACTAATTTTTCACCTCAGCTCCACAAACACACCCGAAAAGAACGTATTAAGCTTAAAAGGAGTCTAAGGAATCCATAACTTACCCGGCAAAGACAGTTGGACATGTCAAAAGTCGGGGGAGGATAACATGGACGGGCAAAGTCATGTTACGGCAGACATCTCCATCTGCTATCTGATAAGATTCAACAACAAAACGAAAAAAACTCACTATCTAAGACACAGTAAGCCAAGACTCGTCCATGGTAAAGAGTATGTTGACAAGTAATTGTTGAACTATGGATACCTGTGTGGTCTGAATCAAAGAGGTCTCAGTCACAATTTTTTCTCCCACCAGCACAGACTCGATACGGAATAGATGGACATCAATGGAGCAAATGGGGACAGAAGATGCCTCTACGGTTAACTCACCACTGATGGGCTCTGACAAACAACAGAGAGTGCCCATTCTTCCAGTTACCCTGAACCCACCTGCGAGCAATAACCCATAATGATTGGATTTAACTGAACAAGAAAGAGCACGAATGAAATGGTTCTTAAAAGCATGCAAGCTAGAATTCTAGTTCATGAGATTCAATTAGTGCACAAAACAATGGATGAAGCCAAATCCTACCTGACTTCAGCTCCGGAAGTAATGGATGTCTTTGCGTGTCTTGAGTGATGTAAAAGATTGCCATCTCAGGTGAAACTGGTCGCTCAAGAAGATAAACTGTGTGCACGGCAGGACAAAGAAAATTGAGCTTCTGCTATCAAACAACAGTAACACAGGAACACCCTATTGCTAAAGATGAAACGAACCACACCTTTATCAGTCTCAACTATGAACTCCAAGGTAGCGGATAATGACTTCTGCAGGTATCCCCTCATCACATCTGCAGTAATCAAATACTGTTATAGGGTTCACTGAGTATCAGAAGAAGTGTCCAAAGAAAATTGCAAAAAAATATTACAGGGTGGAATGTAGAGAACAAAGCAAGATACACTAAAAGAAAGATACCCCACCTGGATATTAATATCTCTTCCATGGTAAGTCTCGTAAAATTTCTCAAAGTTTTCTCCGTGCTGCTTCAGATTTACTGAAAATGGGATCTGCCACAGTAAGCTAAAATTTTACCCTCTCGTGACTGGGTCAAAACGACGATACCAGATATAAACCCAAGAAAAGAGATGAATCCTAAACATGGTTGAATTTCGCAACCAAGAAAACAGAAAGAAGGGGGAGGGGAAGAGGAAGAGCTATCAGCTTTCCTATTTCGAACTCTAAACTGATGAAATCAACGTGAGCCATGCAAAAGATTACCCAATTGGAAGATGCTAGCCATCTCGCTTTTCAAGCCCCGACTATAGAATAAATGCCATCATTCACAACATCATGCACCTGCTAGTCATAAAACTACTCCCCATTTTTATCTACTCACCACCGTTGTGCCAGCAGCAATCTTTCCAGAAGGCTTTACTTCGATGATCTTGTTCCTGCTGACATGACATGTTGGAGAATCGGGGTAAGAAAAATGAAACTGAAAATGGATGTTGCAGATACATGAGCCACTTGGAACAACTTGCTATCAAATTTCCTAATCAAGTCTAGCACTAACCAGCCCTTGTTATCAAAATTCACGAACTTTACAGTTGGAAACGATTAGATATACTAGAAGTGTAGCTCTCTAATATAGTTCACACTCATTCAACTTTGCAAACTAAAATCCAAACAAAATTTGATAGATCGACGATCTCGATAGAAGTTCTTACACAATCGGAATGGGCTTGACAACGCCGTAGAAGGACTCGATAATTCCAGCCGTTCCTCCTCTAACCTAAAATCCCAACCCACAGCAAAAGCACATTGGCATGAGATAAGAGAATTACGATGCCGAGAGGAAACAGTTGACGGCATACTGTGAGCTTCAAAACCTGCAAGTTAACGGATCCATTGATGCCAAGGCGAACTCCATAGTGAGAAAACGAAGACGGTGACTTCACCACTATCTTCCCCTCCAGCGTTTCCTGATGACGTGAAATTAGCGAGGGAAAGGGGAAACCAAAAACACGAGGAAAACCAGAGGGCAAAGGATGGGAGTTCTTACAGAAGGGCGGTAGATGCGATTGGACTTGGAAAGCTTCAGCTCTACGGTCGCCGACGACATTGCAAACCCACCAAAATCGGAGAACTGCTTGCGATCAGCGTTCCCTCGGGGTGAGAGGCCGAATTCGAGATCCCTTATTAACTGAATCGCTATTGGTCGCTCTAAATTTAAAAAAAAATCGCCCCTAAACCAAACTGAATTGATTTTTGTACCCCTAACTCCAATTCCCTAATCACTGACCTTTTGCCGTCCTATCCACCAACTAATTTCTGGCCGCTGCTGCCGTTCCCCAAACCCGCAACCGCTCTATTTCCCCACCGTGTGGACCGCTGCCATTGCCGAGAAGGAGAAGAGCACATACTGAAAGAAGTTGAATTTGTCGAATGGGGTAATTTGTGGGTGAAGTTTCGGAGCTTCTCTATATATATATATATTCACCATGGATTTTTATGCAAACGATAGTTTTGAATTTCAAATAGTGGGCACTTCGGGTTTCAAGACAATATTGTTCTGGCTGGGTAGGTTAACAAGAGCGGAAGTCTGGTGACCAAACTGAAATGATGGATGAATGCAGCATCACGAGGAAATGGTTTGAGCTGAAGGTCTTGCTTCGCTTGGAAAGTTAGAGTTCCCGACTTCCCGCTGAGTTACCATTACCAAAGTCCGGCACTCCGGCTGCGCACCCCATAACAGAAGTCGGTGGCCATTGGTGGGACTCCTGAGAGAGTAAATGACTATATGTTTAGAATAATAAAAGTGATTGTCAAATTAGTACCATACCAAAGTCTCCTGTGAGTGGTCGGCTCCGGCTAGGGTTTAAGTGTTTAAAGACAAAATATAAATGAAAGGGTATTAGAGTAAATTTAACATAATTAGGGCGACAAATAAGAATTTTTAGGGCGACAGAATAGCAATCCCCATTATTAATACAGGTATTTCCCATGTAGTATTGTTATCAGTCCTCCAACTTCCTTTGTGTGCAACAATCAATCCTGATTCCTCAATTGGACAATTTAGTTTCCTAATTTATTTTCAAGTATTAGTTTGATCCTCAATTTAATAATATTTTGATCCAAATGTATTCTTTTGGGTTAATTGCATGGTTGGTCACTGAAATTACAAAAAACATTCATATTTAGTCACTATAAATATTTAAATCCAATCTTGGTCACTCAAATTACTTAAATGGTTCAAGTTTGGTCACTCTCCGTCTAACTCCGTTAAATTTGTTTGATGTGGCAGTCAACCATCAAAATTGACCGTTAAATCAATGACGTGGCAATTAAAAAATAATAAATAAAATAAATTTTAATCTTCTACTATTTCCAACTCATTTTCAAAGTGAAATAAAAAAATATTATAATTACAAATTGAAAAGTAGCCGACTGTCTGCACCGACCGAGTTACCTTTCCTGGACGAGTTCACTCAGCGAGTCGAACACCAAATCCTCGAGCCTCCGTGAAAAATTCAGAGAAGAAGGAAAGAAGAAAGCGCCGATTTCATAGAAATGGCGGACCCGGCGCTCCACCACGAGACCCAGCCCATAAACCAGATCGTCGTCGACTACATGCCGGAGGCGTGCACCCACTGCCCGGAAACCAATTCCATCACCCTGACTTATGACCACCGCGGCGGCGCGCGTTGGCGGAGCACCAACCGTTTCCTCTACTGTTTATGTCACCTAGCTTTAATTTATTCCTTGCTTCGTTTCAAAGAATGATTCCCGTCATGTCCAATCCATCTGGGGCTGATCCTTCTTTTTATGTCCACCATAATGCAGATCTCTTCCCTGGAAGGAAACAAATCCCAGGACGAGATCGGCTTCTAGTTCGTCGGAAAGGACATGACCGTCGTCCAAACCAACTACTACACCGCAGGGAGCGGCAACAGAGAGCAGATCCACGACCTAGGGTTCGATTGCTCGGATTGGTTTCACGAGTATATCATGAAGTGGTCCCAGCAACCAAACTAGCTCCCATTTCCCATCCCTAGCTCCGCCCGCCGCCGCCGTCCCCGCCGCTCCCCGACCATAATCACCTGCAGACAGTCGGCTCCCTTTCAATTTGTAATTATACTTATTCTTTTATTTCACTCTTTATTGTGAAAATGAGTTAGAAAAGGTAGAAGATTAAAATTTATTTTATTTATTATTTTTAAATTGCCACGTCACTGTTTTAACGGTCAACTTTGATAGTTGACTGCCACATCAGACAAATTTAACGGAGTTGGACGGAGAGTGACCAAACTTGAACCATTTAACTAATTTGAATGACCAAGATTGGATTTAAATATTTTCAGTGACTAAATATGAACATTTTTTGTAATCTCGGTGACCAACCATGTAATTAACCCGTATTCTTTTCTAGGAAACTGGTTGGAGACAAGTTCACCCAGAAAAACCTCCAAAAGCACTACCAGTACAGCAAAATTAAAGTTTATATTTGAGCCAAGTAACTCTGCACCCTGCCACCTCGCACGCCCACCTGAATACACGCCCTTTCCCTGCACACAAAGGCGCCCCACTGAGCCCTTCTTAGGGCTCGTTAGCACTCTGACGCCCAAGTCAGAATTACGTTTCTAGAGAGAGAAGTGTATAGTAATTTTAGAGAGAGGATCCAACCTGAGTAAATGAGCTCCACCAACTTCACTATTTATACCCAGGTAAGGTCGACCACTGTCCCCCCAAATCCGCCCCATGTTATCACACCATTAAATGCACTGTACTTCCCCCTTGCTAGGCGCCCCGACATTCTGACACATTGCCCAGGGACCCGAGGCGCATGGCCCCACTTCCTGTCCCCTCCGTACGCTCCTGACCGTTGCCCCCCTTTGTCGCCATGCACCCTTCAACAGACCTGGCCCCACCACACAGGTTACAGCCTTAGTCCCCTTTTGGGCTTTCCCTTTGCTGGGTCCGCACTCCAGACCCAAATTAGCCTTTTGGGCTTCCCTCTTGAGCCTCAATGTGCCCCCCAATAGTTTAGTTTTGAACCAATTTAGTTATGCTATGGTTTCGTTCCAATTAAATTATAGAATTGCTCTATGATGAATTGAGATAAGCAAAAGCATGAGACGCCATTTATATTGGAGCAACTATGTAAGAAAATCATGAGATAACAAGATTCGGGTTTAGAACATCTTGTTATTTTCAACACCTCTTTAAACAATCTCATTTTTGTCCTATCAAAACTCATTTCCTTCAATTTGGAGATCAACATTTGTTGTAGCCTATCATCAAGGACTAAATTCACAAATAGAATCGATACTTCTTTAAATCGCAATGTCATAGTGCGAGTCCTAAGTGAAATTAGATTTAATCGGACGACTGTTTGGAAGTAATGTGAAACAAATAGAAATTGACAATGGGCTAAAACGGTGAAAAACAAAAATTAAGCTGGTGAGTCGGGTACATCAATTAAAATAGGGTAGTAAACGGTCTTTTTCTCATTATCCAGTTCCGTATTTAATTACCTACCCCGCTAATTGCCTTGCTGTCGGACGGTCATTGGCCTGAAATGCATCGCATGACGTGTCAAACAACACACAGATGAATGGACGAATAAGTTGAATTCCAGAATTACCCTGCCGGCAGCCGGCTCTAATTTCTCCCCATCCACCTCCTCCGACAATCTTCCGCTTCACACCAGAAGATAAGAGCTCTGAAGAAGAAGAAAGATGCGACCTTCGGTCAGGGTCAGGATCGGATTGATTCTTCTTGTCTTATCGCTTTACCCTCTCTCCCTCGCTGCCCGTCCTTTCGTCCTCGTCCTCTCTCAGGACGACCTCAAGGACGTCCCCACAACTCCTGCCGATTCCGACGATCTCTCCTCCTCCGATTCCCAGCCCGAGTGGGATGAGTTCGGAGACTCCGATTCCAAGCCCGACCACCAGCTCGACCCGGGCTCATGGCGCCCAATTTTCGAGCCCGACTCCTCCGCCGCCGCCGCCAATCCCGTCGACGGCGAGATGGCAGGCTACTACGAGGTAGTTGGGAAGATGCTCTCCGCTGTAACCATCGGAGAGATCAGGTTGATGGAGGAAGCCGCCGCTGAAATCGAGGCGGTAGCTGCGGAGAAAGGCAATCCTCACGCTCAGTCGTTGCTGGGTTTTCTCTTCGGGATGGGCCAGATGCGGGACATGAGCAAATCCAAGGCGTTTCTCTATCACCATTTTGCTGCCCAGGGAGGGAGTCTGCAGTCGAAGATGACGCTAGCTTATACCTATTCCCGTCAGGATGTGAGTGAGTTCTGAATCGTTGCTTCTTGCTTTACTTCGGTGATCATGGGGTTTCTTTGTATCTGATTCTTCTGTGTTTTCCTTCCGATTTGCTGTTGTAGATGTATGATAAAGCGGTTAAATTGTATGCTGAACTAGCCGAAGTGGCGGTCAACAGTTTCCTGATCTCCAAAGATTCACCTGTCATTGAACCTGTTAGGATTCACAATGGAGCAGAAGAGAACAAGGATGCTCTGAGGAAGTTTAAAGGTGAAGATGATGAAGACTTTCAGATTTTGGAGTATCAGGCCCAGAAGGGCAATGCTGCGGCTATGTACAAAATTGGTCTGTTCTACTACTTTGGTTTGAGAGGCTTGAGGCGTGACTATGTTAAGGCCTTGTCGTGGTTCTCTAGGGCTGTGGAGAAAGGGGAACCCAGATCAATGGAGCTTCTTGGGGAGATTTACGCCAGGGGAGCTGGGGTTGAGAGGAACTATACCAAAGCACTCAAATGGCTTACACTTGCTTCAAGGCAGCAACTTTTTTCAGCCTATAACGGCATGGGGTATCTTTATGTCAAAGGTTATGGAGTGGAGAAGAAGAACTACACCAAAGTATGCCCCCCTTTAGTTTTCTCCCGTCGTTATGTATTAGTCTGTCATTAAATCTGGCATATGCTGTTTCCTTATTCAAGTCTGTGTTTGCTGGAAATGTTTTTTCCCGGTTCACAAGTTTTCTTGAGCTTTGAACTTGTGCTGAATTGTGATAATGACATCTGTCTAAGCATGATTCATTTGTTCTCTTTGTTGCTAGTTCTGCCATAGCTCCATATCAGGGGTGTACTGCGTGCCTATTTTTGAAGTTCATGTTGTTGCTTTTGTAGACATTCTAGGCTGCTTTTGTTTTTATCTCGCTGTTGCATATGCCTTTGGGGATTTGTTACCAACCAGAGCGATTTTATGCCAGGCGAAGGAATACTTTGAGAAAGCTGCTGAGAACGATGAGCCTGGGGGTCATTATAACCTTGGAGTCATGTTTCTGAAAGGAATTGGTGTAAAGAGAGACATAAGGCTGGCTTGTCAGTATTTCATAGTTGCAGCTAATGCCGGTCAACCCAAGGCATTTTATCAGTTGGCCAAGATGTTCCATACAGGTGTTGGACTTAAAAAGAACCTGCCAATGGTGTGTTTTTTATGACCTTCATTGTTTCCTTCCTTTCTGGTGTTGTTCATGGTGGCTATTTCCTTAGAAGTTAGAACTAATTAGGGAACTTATAAGTGTGAGATGAACTATTTGGTTGTGACCGTCATTGATTATATCAACTGTCTAGGTAAAAATGTTGTCTGGGAGTTGCCTTGTAATTTGCAAGTCGCGGTGTACCCTCCTTTCATTATATTAGCTTCGTGAATCATCATTTTTTATATTATCAAGGAGAAACTGGTCCACCAGTTTATCAGTATTGTAATTCAACATATAGAATATAATGAGCTCATTCCTCATATAACATAGAGTGTCTTGTTGCACGCATTGAGAATTGCAAGAGCTGTGTTTCCTTACAAATCTGTCTTTGGTACCAGGCTACTGCACTGTATAAACTGGTTGCAGAAAGAGGACCATGGAGTTCTTTGTCCAGATGGGCGCTAGAATCTTATCTCAAGGGTGATGTTGGCAAGGCGTTTCTACTGTATTCAAGAATGGCCGAGATGGGCTATGAGATTGCTCAAAGTAATGCTGCATGGATCCTGGACAAATATGGAGAGAGAAGCATGTGTGTAGGGGAATCTGGTTTCTGTGGTGATGCAGAAAGGCATCAGCGTGCTCATGCATTGTGGTGGCAAGCTTCCGAGCAGGGTAACGAACATGCTGCCCTACTCATCGGTGATGCATATTACTACGGCCGGGTATGCATCTTCGCTCTCTTACCATTTGAGTCCTGACTACGGGTAGTCAGGTTACTCCATAAAATCAAACTGAATGAATACTCGGACCAAATTGAACTTGGTATAAATATAATCTGATTTGGTTTTGATCTCGAATGTAAGACCTTATTTTAACACCGACTCCATAAATCCTATTAAGAACATGGAAAAAAGCGGGCAGAGTCACAACCAGGCTGGAACAAATAACTTTTTATCCGACTTTGTTCGTCGTTTTTCCTTCATATCTGACTGCTTCAGATTTGATCTGGTTTGAACCGGACCATGTCCACTCTTAATTCCTTACCGCTCGAGGCTGATTAGCTTCTTGTAAACCTTGTGTCTTATGAAGATTCCTGACTGCTCTTTTGTTCTTGTCGCTGTCTTTGTTTAGGGTACTGAAAGAGACTACGAACGTGCAGCAGAGGCCTACATGCATGCTAAATCTCAATCTAATGCACAGGCCATGTTCAACCTAGGATACATGCACGAACATGGTCAAGGCCTTCCACTGGACCTCCATCTTGCTAAGCGTTACTACGATCAAGCATTAGAAGTTGATTCTACTGCAAAGTTGCCTGTGACACTTGCCCTAACTAGTTTATGGGTTCGGAAGAACTATGGAGACAGTTTTATGGTTAGTTTCTTCCAAATCTCATTCAAAAATTACTATCATAAACCCGTACTAACTATGGTTGTGGTGTGCTGAACCTTATAGGTTGACATGATTGATTCGCTGCCTGAGGTGTACCCAAATGTGGAAGCATGGGTAGAGAATGTGATAATGGAAGAAGGAAATGCAACAATATTGACTCTGTTTGTCTGTCTCCTCACTGTGCTCTACCTACGAGAGAGGCAGCGTAGAAACGTGGGTGCCGCTGGTGAGGTTGCCATTGTACCACAACAACCCAACGAGCAGGATATCATACCTCTGGCGAATTAGACTGTTTGCGGACACTGTTATTCCAGGAAGAAGCATGCGCTTGTGTACAGAGGTAATTTAGGAACTGCAGTTTTGGGAGCAGAAGAGTGGGATCAGTTTTGCTGAAACTGCTCTCTGCCTTATAATTTCAAATTCAAGGCCAAGGCGTGTATTTGGAAGTGGATTTAGCAACAATGCAAGTGCTTCGCATTGTATTATGAATCATGCAAATTCCAAAGCAGAAGCAAGTAAAATATATACGAGTTAGAGATTGATCCTCGTACTCTTTGTTTGTCCAAAACAGAATTTGTACGTACAAGTACCATGACTTTCACTAAAGAGTAATGAGATTCGGTTTGTTAGTACTACTACTATGAAAGCCCTTTTCTTCTCCATATGTTGAATGCATCTCAGCTATTGGTTTTCTCATCTGATAGCTGAGGCAGGTGGTCAATGCTCAGGATTTTTTAGGCACAATGTTATTACAAGATTGAGCGTAAGCCACCGTGTAGCAGCAAACCATTAATGTACAGACTCAAGGGTCACTTCAATGTACTCGCTCAAGGAACCTATGTTTGAAGAGGAAAAACAATGAGATGCACTGTACATGGCATATACCCAACCTATTTGCATTGTGGCTATTAACAAGGCGGCTAAATTACACGTTTGATCACTCGAATTATACAAATCTTTCATGTTTGCCACCCGAATTACTTTTCTTTCTTATTCGCCACTAACTTTATGAATAATTTCACTGTTAGTCACCGCCCGTCACACTCCGTTATATTTGTCCTATGTGGCAGTCAACTATAAAGTTTGACCGTTAACCAGATGAGGTGGAAATTAAAAAATTAAAAAATAATTAATTTTTCCACTCACCATTGCTTTATCATATTGTTTATTTAAAAAATTTAATAAATTACAAAAATTAATTATTGAGCAGTGAGGGATTTTCGACAGGCCCCTTTTACACCCGCTCCTCTGCTTCTCACCGCCCCTTCCAAATCCAATGGCTTACTCTACCAGATCAGAAGGCCACTACCGATCCCTTCATTGTCCCACTCCCAACAAGGCCACTGTCACTCATATTCGTAAACGGCGCCGCCGCAAAGTTCAGCGAACTCGACCTCGTCATTTGGAAAATCGAAATCCCTAGTTGCTCGCCGTCGTCGCCCTCTCTTCCACCGGCTTGTCACTGGATCTCAATTCCCCCACCTCCGGCAACAACCCCCACCACCATTTTCCTCCACCAGCACCAGTGAACTGTCGCCGTCGCGGGCCCCGCCTCTCCCTCTGAGAGGTCCTCCGGACTGGCATCCTCAACAAAATCACCGCCGAAAATCCCGTCACCATCGCATCCGCGGCTCCACCGCCGAATAATTCTTCTACCGTCGCTTTCCTTCGCTTGATTCGTCTTCCTCAACTCTTCATTCATCTTTCCGATGCCACTTAATCCTCCCAACAAGGTTCCGATCAAGAGGGATTCAGAGGGCGGAGAAAGTAACCGAGAGAGCCGAAAGAGGGATGGAAGCAGCTTTTAGTTTTGGTGGACAAGCTCAGACGTGAGTCGTAGCGGAAAAGATCAAAGTTTTCAGGGTTGGGGAAGATATAGGGGAGAGGAGCAGCTGCTGCCAGAGTGGAGGAGCTGTTAGGCGCCGGAACTACGAAGATGAAAAAGAGGAATAGGAACGGCGTAAATCAACCGTCGCCTCTGATAATTAATTTTTGTAATTTTTTATGAAATAATTAATATAATAAATCACATAGACCAAGTAAGTGAAATGATGAGGTGAAAAAAATAAAAAAATTTAATTATTTAAATTTCCACGTCATCTAGTTAACGGTCAAACTTTATAGTTGACTGCCACATAGAACAAATTTAACGGAGTGTGACGGCCGGTGACTAATCGTAAAATGATTCGTAAAGTGAGTGGCGAATAAAAAAGAAAAGTAATTCGGATGGCAAACATGAAAGATTTGTATAATTTGAGTGACTAAACGTGTAATTTAGCGCTATACATTTTCTAACCACAGTTGCTAATGGCTGTCCATTAGACTAGTACTTTGGTGCCAAAGATCCTATATTGTCTACTTCTCCAAGCATCACTTTTATCCAGGTAATAAGATTTGAGGCAGAGCTGTATCCATGGTGGATTTCTTGGGGATTCAATCTTCTTCCCATTATCAGTCACTGTTATTCCAAGCAATTTATCTCGCTTTCTTCTCAGTATATCCAAGGATGGATAACCCTCAAACAGTTTCTCCTGTCACAATAGGAAAGGAAAAGTTCAGAAAGAATTGCAGAGACAAAACAGTAAAGTTTACAGATGAATCTTGTTTATGATCTTACCCCATCTTCTGCATACACGAAGGCATGAATTCTGGCTGTAGGATCCTCAAGAGTAACCCTGATCCTATAAATCCCAAGGGGAGAGCGGAAGTCCTCAACTCTCCATGGAAGTGAAGCCACCACCCGAGCGATACATCTAAATTTAGCTGTCACCTGATGGAATATCACCAAGTAATCACTCAATGTAACTTAATGACAATGTATCACCAACAAACCATAACTAATGACAATGTATCACCAACAAACCATAACTAATGACAATGTACCTTAGGGTAAGTGATAATATCCATCAATGTAACAAAAGGGACATTGTCATGGTCAACCTCTGAACATGGAAAAATGAGAATGTTATTATATTATTATATCAGAAAGGTTCGCAACGAAGACCAACAGTGCAAGCTGGAGGCTACAAATGAAGAGTAAAACTATTATTGAAAATCCATTTATAGACATCTAGACTGCCTATAAGCATCAATAAGTCAAGAATGCAAAACCTGTTATTCGCGAACACCAAGGGAAGGACGAGTATGGCATACGCTCCAAGTCATTTGACAAACGATCTTGATGAAACCTTATGCACAATTAGCACGTACAAATATTAAGTCCAATTGAACAACAAAAACAAGACCAAGAATGAGACTAGGAACTTGCACCATACTTTTGGCATGCTAACACAAAACGGTCGCTCTCAGTTGTGTACTGAACCTTTGTGAAAGGTGTTAACAACCCGTACCACAATCCTCCCCTAACCTCACAGGACAGATTGAATAATTTCACCCATTTCCCAGAATTCAGCAAGCGGATAGCCTGCATCTCACTGCCTCTGTCATTCATTACCCTCAAAATTGTCCCAACGGTTGGGAATGTACACAATACCTCTTTTGGCAAAGGAAACGGCTCCAGGCTTAAAGGCAATGGATTATCCTTTTCTTCTTCCAGCCTACAACCCAAACAAAAACAAATTATTTACAGCGGAAATATAAAAGTGATTCCTTTAGATCAGATTTGAGTCGAATGTCCAATATGCACAAACAAAGTCAGAAGGGAAGGCCTTGAAGAAATGGTCAAACCAAAAAAGGGAAAACTTGAGTTCAATCACTAACCCATATGCAATAGCGTAGAAAACAGGAAGAAAAAGATAATAAATTATTCTATCAAACAAAACCAACATGAACTCCGCCGATACACGTACACGATTACAACTTTCAAGACATTAGCCCTAATGCCCATAGTGAATTCAAGAACTTCTGCCTTTCATTCTCCTCCAGTGTGCAATTAGCAAGCACCAAAGTACGTTCATCAATCATCAATAATCAATAACTATTCAAACAATGTGAAGAAACACTTCAAATCACGAAGGATCTAGATTTCATAAAAAAAATCTGAATATGAAAACAACTTACTTTGCCTTAATGATGTTTGGTGGACAGTCAGTTCCATCCCAAATGAGAGCCATCCACTCGCTATTTGTATACTCGTAAATATGGAGTACCTTCACATGGTAAAACGTAATGAAATGTGAATGTTTGTAATTTGGATAATGAGTAAATAGCCACTCAAGATTATCCCTTTTATTAATTCAATAGAATGGAAAGCGACCTACATTTGACGGACCTTGCAAACAATATTAACTCGTGCACCTTCTGTGATCTCTCTTAAGAATGACAAGTTATTTGCCAACCCTGGCAAGTACATAGAGTTAAGCTTCTACTGAGGAACTTAACAGCTACAATTGTAATCTAACATATTGAAAATCTATTTCAGAGGATACCTTCATCAAGGTGAAAGTCCACCAGCCATTTTCTCAGGCTAGCTATGAAATTTGAATCCAGTTCTCCCATGCGAAACCTTGCAGAAGACTGGTAAGGATTGAAACCAGGGCCGTCTTGTCCTTCATATAAAGCAAAAGTCGAAAATTTCTTGTTGAATAGGGCATTAACTTCCCCGTTGTGAGGTTTGATCTGCATCAGAACATATTCCAACTTAACATGATGGCTTAAACTCAAGTGTACATATTTTCACAAGTTGGTTTCTGACAGGAAAACTGTATCCACAAAGTTTGACACAAGAAGCTATTTACAAAGACCAGCATGAGTTTATACCACGACACGGCGGAACTGAACTATATCGCCGAGCGCTGAAACATTGGGGAGATCATCTGCAGTAGCCGTGAAAACATTGACCACGATCCCATGCTTCGGATGTGACTGGTCGACTACTTTCAGTGAACAGCACCAGTCTGGATGCAACAAATTGTACCACTACAATCTTCAATATGGATTTAAAGTTTCCAACTTTAAAAGCATAAACATGAATTTCACCATCAGAATAAGAAAGCAGGAAAGGAGAAAGAACTGGACGAAGAACAAAAGACGGGAATTTTTAAAACATGGCTCAGCGTACACCTTTGGATAAATGGATCATCACTCTACTACCAAAGCCAAACTAACTAGCAAATGGCAGCAGCAGTAAGTCCGGCCTTTTTGTGTCATCATCGCCAAATACAGGGTCTCCGGTGAAAAGATATTTGTTCAAACAAACGATATGAAGGTAAGACGACTGGGAAGAGGAAATGGTTACCGGTGCCCTTGGAGCGGCGGGGGAAAGTGAACTCGACAACGGCGCCGATGAAGCTAACTTTCTGGTTTATGCAAGTGATGGCATCCCTGATCGGGAGAAACTTGTAATCGTCTCTCCTCTCCATTTTCGCCGGTTGAAAATCTCGCTATTCTCCTTCCTCGCCGACAATTTCTACGAGTAGGGTTTAGGGATTTAGATGATCCCGCCCAGGGCGGACGCACGCATGTTTTGGGTGTAACGGGACAGCCTAAATTTTGAAAAAACGATTATCCAACCCCCGGTGGTAAATTACGTATGGACAAAAAAAATTATAATTGAGAGCATCTCCATTGAAATTGTATTTAGAATTGCATTATGACATGACACTCATTTGCAATTGCATTGATGTAGAAGACAATTACATCTTTGCAAGCTTGCATATAATGCAATTATGGAATGCAAGCCACATCATCTTTTTATTATTAAATTATTCATTAACTTTATTATTTGAGTGTTTATGTTTAACAAATTAAATTAAAAAAAATTAGTTGCAATTGTAAGTTAATTGCATTGATGTGGTCCAATGCAAGTAAGATGAGTTGGATTGCAAAAAAAATGGAAAAAAAATGCAATTGTAAATGCAATTGCACCAATGAAGATGCTCTTATAGTCGGGGGACACTCCAAAAATTTTAAAAATGATTATCTTAATCTCATCTTCTAGTTTGGGTATGTACAATTAGAAATATAAGTGGTAGTTTGAGTAATTCAAACCTATGACACTATTATTATTAATAAACATAATTTCCATTAAGTTACAAGCCTACAACTCATTTGTTGTTTGATTTTAAACACTGTGTAATAGTAAAATGTCATTCACTATCCCTAATTATTTTCAAAACCTACAATTAAACAAATTTCAAACTACCCTTAATTTGTATTAATTTTATGGTTGTACGACAAGTGTTGAAAGAGTCTTTTCAGCTTTGGATTACATAAAAAACAAGTTTAGAAATCGAATATGTGATCAGTTCTTGAATGATTGTCTAGTAGGATACACAAAGATAATTTTTTTGAACAGTGTAGGTACCAAGTGTATTCTACAATTATTTCCGAATATGAAAATACATTGTGGACTGTTTTTAAGTTGTACGAGTCAGGTATTTTCTTATTTAAGAATTATTTTTATTTAATTTACTTTTCAAAAGGGGACACCCCTATGTAAAATTTCTGGGTCCTCCAGGGATTCCCGCCCAAAAAATGTTGTCAGTGTGGTTTTGATTTTTGTAAGAGGGAGCGAAGGGGAGACCTGGAGCATTGATGGGGAATGATCGGACGGTTGATAGGGGATGGAAAACGACAGGCCAAAATAACGGTCAAGTTAACTTGTTGCCACATATAGCCCAATAGTCAAGACAATGAAATGAGGGATCAGAAAGCCCAAATAACACGCCAATTACTAGTAAACTAGCTTGATACCCGGCCGTTGGCCGGAGGAAATAAATAATGTGATCCTTATATTGGAAAAAATTCAAAATTGCCATTGTTTAAAAAAAATTACAAAAATACCACCCATTCTCAAGAATTTCCAAAAATACCACCCTTCCCCATAAACCGCGCGAGCAAGGGGCGGTTTGCCATTGGGCAGCTGACAAAAACGCGCCTCCACGTAGCGGCCCATGTAGCCGCACGATGGGCAGACGATCTGATGGCCTAACCGCCTACCAGCGGAGCGATCCGCGTCGCCCACGGGAAATCGTTGCCCTGAGGCGCGGTTTGCGCGTTGGAAAACGTAAACCATGTGCTGGAGGCACGGTTTTGCGTGGGGTAAAAAGACCATACCGCCCTCCAACACGCTTTTTCGTCCCTATATAAACCCACTCATTCCTCCCATTTTCTGCACACCAAACCCCCATTCTCCTCTCTCTCTCTCTCTAAGTTCCTCACTCTACCCATCCCCCTCCCCACCCAAAAACCTTGGAAATAGTTGTTTTGTTGGTTGCGGCTAAGTCCGATTTGCCTTCAAAAATCTTTTTCTTTGGTTTTCACTAAAAAACCGTCGAATCTCTGTCTGGATTCTGAAAAAATGGCCGATTTTATCCAAGAATATTTATTATGATGATTATCAAGCGGTACGTACTCATTTTACCCATTTTTTTGTTGTTGTTATAATGGTTTATTTAATTTATATACTAATTTATTTATGTTGCTGTTATGATATCGTAGGTTGGGCCGGATGTTGATATATACAATCAACGATATTATGTTGATCAAGGACCGATTGATCCGACTATTTTATACGATCAATACAATCATTGTTCAAGAGACGTTTGGAACGACCACAAGGTACATATTATTTACCATCACTTGTTATTTTTATTTTGTTAACGTAATTTATTTGTTTGTACAATAAGTTACTTAATTGTTTGTCGTATTGATTATTTTCAATAATTTAAATCAATACAATACAACAATTATTTAGACTCTTTATAAAGAAATGCATGTCTAAGGAAATGGGGTCTTAAGCGATCATCATGATCCTCCCATTATCTGGGAAAATCGGGTTCTAAGCGATCTTCGGATCCCCCCTTTTTTGTTAAATGGACTGTGTTTCTAAGAAGAGTATACCTCTCCTAAGAGTCTTACGAGTGTACTAGTATTGCTTTAAATTATTGAAAACAATCAATACGAAGTACAAAATAATATGTTTGATTTTATGTGTGTACAAAAAATAATTTTACTTAAATTTCGAAAATTATTTTAGTTATGTTAAAATTAATGTTTATTAGGTAATGTATATTTCTCGGAAACAACCTTGATTTAATTAATATTGTTTGTTATAATAGATTTATATATGTATAAATCATCAACTTATAGTGAAAGTTAAATTCTTCTCTAGGATGCATACCATATAGTTCGCTATAGGGGTACGACGAATGTGCTTGAATGGAACGATTAGGCACTTTAATGGAATAAAGATCGACCGCCAACTCATCACAACATTGGTAGAGAGATGGCGAAAGGAGACACATTGCTTCAATTTTCGTGAAGGCGAGTGCACCATCACACTTAAGGACATCGCCATCCAAACCGATTTGCCCATCGATGGCGATGTTATTTGTGTGGACTCTACGCCACCACCTAAAGTTTTTGCCAATATGAGTAATTGACGGCATTTTATATGGACCGTCACCGGATTGTGTCCGCCAAAACAGGGAGATCACGATGCGGATGGTAATCCACCATTGTCCAAGGGCCAAGTATCCATCACTTGGTTGACAGCGGAGATCATGCGTAAGCACAACCCTGAGGTCGGAGGCATTCCCCTCACGGAGGAAAGTTCGGAGCATGATAAAGACATTTATGCACGTATCTACATCCTCGGCATGATCGGAGGATTTTCTTCCCCAAGAAATCCAACAATTTAATTAGCAATTCATGGTTGAAGATCATATTTGGAGATTGGGATGATATGGGAAACCTGAGCTGGGCATCAGCTTGCCTAGTTCATCTCTACCACTCCCTCTGTAATGCTAGTGCGAGAGCGGTGAAGGAGATTGATGGGGCCATGTTCATCGTTCAATTTTGGGCTTGGGAGCATTTTCTATGGATTGCGCCGAAGGTAGACCCCGACAAGGAATGGGGACCCGACCATCGCCTACGACATGAAGCTTATGGTTGTAGGTAAATATATTCTATCCCACTCATAGTTCTCACCTTTTTTTACTAATTCAGTATTTAATAACGAAATTTTTAGTCCGCATTAACATGATGTACTTTTTCATATTAATAGGTGGCTTGGTCAAAAAACATGCGACAACCTAAGTGCGTATAAGCTGGAGGAGTATCGTAGGGGGCTGGATCGCCTTTGGGAAGCAGAGGTAACCATCATAATACACTATTACTTCCTGCTTCATTTCAACTTATATTATTATGTTTCTTAATGGTCCATTTTTCTGCACCTTCGTAGCTTAAGTTCGATCTGTATCCAGAACATATCATCACGCATCACGTCCACAAGTTCCCGTTGCATCCTGCTCAATGGTGCACCCGAGTGCACCTAATCTGCCTCCATATAGTGGAGTGGCACTTGCCGGATCGATGTCTACGACAATTCAGACGTGAGCAATGCCTACCATTGGAAGTCCCGGCGAGTCAGAGGGGGTACCACGGGAAAGATGGTCGACAAGGTTCTACTAATTGGCCCTTGGAGTTTGAAGAATTGATCGCTCGGTGGAACGTTAGGCAAGATCAGGATATTGTGACGGCATCAGCTGTGGGGCGAATGGGTTACCATGACCCATACATGGAAACATACCGAAGACAATATGTTCGTTACATGACCCCCGAAGATGCGCTGGACGGAGCGTTGGTAAGTAATTCAGTCATATTAATTTATTTATTTACTTGGAGCATCAATATATTTAGGCATGCGGTGCATTACTACTTAAATGGATAACGTTGTTATTTTTTGCGATTTAGGTTGATGGCATCGAGCGTATACACGACCTCGCTCGTATTGCATATCCTTTGGCGGCTGGTCGAGAGGGGGGGGCTCATTCGAAGGATAGCAAACAGCCTCCTTGGCTGTAGAGCACGTTTGTGACCATCACAGATACCCTCCAGTTCCCCCAATTACACCGCGATCGGTGACGGAAGATGTCCCCCACGTGCCTCTGCCGGTCCATAGGAGGCCAAACAAGGCTACAAGGGATCGACCTCACGTGCCCGAGATCAAGCCGATTGAGGCATGGAAGGTGCCTACTCCATTGGAGATGTGCAACGGTGCATGGTCGAGTACTCAGTATAAACCCCGGTCGAGTTTTCACTGCGATCCGTGACCGAGTGCTTTCTACGACTCCAGTACTCAACATGAGCCTCGCCCCAGTTTCCACTATGATCCCCCGCCCGTCTACCACTATGATCCCTGACCGTGTTTCCAATACAATCTCCGGGCCAGTTTCCACTAGGATCCTCGGCCAAGTACATTTCATGACGCCACATTCTCGGCTACTTGGGCCGATGGTTCATCCTCAAGTCCCCACCAAGACTTCTCACCTTTACATCGACCGTAACAACAATGACAGTCCATTCCCCACCGTATGAGCGTGGATAGTCCTCGACGCACACGGAGGGGCCACCTAGCACGGCACCGCGACGGCATAGCATGGACCAGCGTCCTTCTACGACAAATAGGAATCTTCCACCACTTCCAACCCCTATTACACCCGGTGGACCAGTCGCTCATTGCACAAGGAAACAGAGGGCAAATC